CTTTTCTGGGTTGATGACAGCGCCTATCTGCACGCCAGTCAGCCACTTCTATTTTCTCTCCCATGATCTCATTCCTAATTGTTTCCTGCTATATATTTATGTTCTGTTCGTTACTTCTTATCACCATCACTTTCGTTTTATTTGCTAATCTTGCGGTGTTGTGTTGCCATCTTGTATTTGCCTTTTCTTTCTCATAGTCCTTTAACACATACATGGACTGTTTGACCAGTCTGTTTATATGTCATTGTATTCTGTGTAGTGATGATAAATCTAGTGCCGGCTTGCTAGGCCTGTCGCAATTTCACTAGAGCCCCGCTGGCCAAGGCATTTCGGGATGACCCCAAGATGCCATCACGATTACCACAGGGCACAAGAGGCCACATCATACTTCGCCCAATCTTAGAAATGCTGCTTACCACCTCTCTCGAGGTAGACTTGGGATGGGGTTTGAAAGGTTTTAGTGGTTACTTTTCTTAGTCAGTCAGTCAGTCAGTCAGTCAGTCAGTCAGTAGCATGTCCTATGCAAAACCTTGCACCCAAAACAACCATCCGGAAAAGTTCTCGATCACAAGCAAAAGAGTCCTAAGTCCAATACGCCCATCTGGAGATCATCCGCCACATCAGGCACCTATCTTCTCTTCTCTTCTCTTCGACCTTCATCTTCCTCTCTTCCCAGGCATTTACCTCTCCATTATTAAAACTTCCGTGTCGTTTTAAGTGTCAAAAATCTTTCAATTTTCTGTGTTTCATCGTCTTTAATAGCCATGCTTCTTCAGTATTCAGTTCGTGTGGTATGGATGCATTTGTTCTTTTCTTCAACCATGATACTTTTCGAACCCGTCTATAACATTTGTATTCAAAGGCATTAATGCGCTGTTCGGCTTGTTCAGTAAGTGTCCAGGTCTCACAGGCGTATGTTGTAATGGGAAAGATGCATGCTCTTCGAAATCTATTATTTGTAGTTCTGTCCGTCCCACTCCATGATTTATTTAATTGTTTTAGTCTTTGAAGAGCAACTGATAGTTGTCGTTTAATTTCATTTCATTTCACTTTCCTTCGTGCAAAATAAAAGTAGAACTCACCTCTGTGCAAAAATACGGAATCTAAATATGAAGAAAAAAAATATATATTTTTTTTTAGTGACTTGGAGATAGCAATGTCGCAATAGCTAATAAGCTATATATATATGCGGGAGAGAGGGGGTTAAAAAGGGTTAACTTATGTAAATTATGTTTGGGGATCTGCCCCTTTCACCCGACTTCTGCTTTCACACTTATGAAAGGGTTGGTGGAATGTTCTGTTGTACTTCATAACTCGCCCGCGATTTCTGCTTCTTTTGGCCCATTTATTATAGGCTTCTTAAGAAGCAGTGGGTCTGTTCTTTCTCTGCCCAAATGGGACCCGCAGCCCGCACGCGGACCCTGATCTAATAATGGTGCTTACACGTCAAGTCCAGACTTGTTGCAGTAATGAAGACTTGTTGCGACTTCTGATTCACTTTCTGTTGTTCGCCAAGTTAATGAAAGCATAATAAAGAACAACAAGAAAAGCTTTCTACAGTGATGTGTTTACAAAGTGCACATTTAGCACTATTGGCTATTTTGGCATCTGTGCAGCGTTAAGGTCCAGGTCAGGATATGAATTTAGTTACTGAAAATTGCATTGGGGGGAGGGTTGGGGTTTTTGTGACCCAAATGGCTTATTTAAAGCCAACTTGACGTCAAATCTTGTAGCATTACGGATGGAGGTCAGGGGGTCATGGCATAAGTCATCTGAAACATATATGGAGAATGTATTCAATTTAATGCTTCACTCTCTTTGTGTTTGTTGATTCATCTTTATATTTTTTTTAAGAAGAAAAGAAAGAATAACTTTAAACCGTATTACTATTACCCGAGGTTAAATATTCATAGATACGTCATGACAAGCTGGCATCTTATCATTCCAGACGATAGTGTTATAGTGTGCTATGAGAAGGCATGGGACCAAGGCGATGTGACTAGCAAGACCAGTCCGCGTCAACAAACGTTTTCCACAATTATAGCATGTGGTTTCTGGAGTGTTGTGATCAGTTACATTTAGTGTGTTTCTTCTCAGCTCTCAACCTTTCTGCAATCATTTCTTCCTTCATTCTCATTCCCTTCCTGAAATGCCCTTTCCACATAACATGGTCCATGACATTTTGTTCCCCACGAATCCACCTCAATACCTGCATCATTCATGTCCCGCTTGCACATATCTCAATATCGCAGTAAAGGTCAGCCTAGGCATACTTTGCCTACCTGTAATTCACCACAGAGGATGTCCTTAGGGACTCTGCCGTCCTCCATATAAGATACAGCAAGCTGAGCCTTTGGAGACTGAGAAAACCATTGTAATATTTACTCTCTCCAACACCTCAGTGTTTGTGATCTTGTCATTCCACTTAATGCCAAGCTGTTTTGAGTGACATTCAACCCCACCAGGACCGCATTACGATTGATAAACACCCAGTAACCACAAAGTGCCACCATTTGGATGAGAATCACCCAGGCACAAGTTACACAAACCCTAAAGTCAGAATGGGGCTTTTAAATAATAATAAATGGAGTCCCATACTTGGACGGAGTTATAAGTAATCTTAGACATCGTATGAGAAAGCTATTTAGCTGTTTCTCCTGGTACAAATAAGTTGACCAAGTTTCACTGCCACAAAGAAGAGGGCTGAGAACTCAGGCCGAGACAACAGTTTTTGTTTTCTTCTTCTTTGTTCACTGTCTGTAGGCTCAGTTTTGCATGTACATCCAAGGATCTGAACCTGGGTTTCCTGTGTGAGAGCTCAGCATTTCTAGACAAATACTTCTCATTTACAAACAGTTCTATAATGTTTCGGATTTTATTCAAAAGGCAGCAATTGATTTTCATTTCTCTTATATTTTTTACTTCATACAAAAAAAATCCAAACACTGATTTCCTATTGTTATATTTATTTCTTTATTTCATTCAAAATGCAACCACTGATTTACAGTTCTGTTATATTTCTTATTTCACTTTACATGCAATAGCTGATTGGTGTTTATAATTTAAAATAAAACCCTGCATATTACTTGTATTATTGTAAATCAATAAATACATGCACAAACCACTGGGACAATTCTTTTTAGCTGTAAAATGATAACTAAACTCGTCTGATTACTCCTCACTTCTTGTGCTATACAACTTGTAATCAGGCCAAAGTTGAAAGGCGAACAGCAAACAAACCAAATTATGGACAGATAGCAGACACGACTGACATGTTTTGATAAAGAAGACCAGGCAGTGGAATACCACGATTATAACTGCATCAATTGTAAATCCAAAGACCCAAAGATGGAGATTTAGAAAAGAAGCAGAACCTTCTCTGAGGTTTGAAATGACTAGTTGGCGCATGAATAGTAGGCTTACAGGAAGCATAGAGCCTGATGTGCGGTACAGTGTAGTGATAAAGATCTCTCTTTGGTACAGTGGAAACAGACACCAGTGGGACTAACAAAGTGAGAGTGCAAGAGAGTCAAATCCCCTTTCCAAAATAAAGGTAGAGGAGCAACACGCATCATTTGCACACCTTGTGTTGAGAGCTCATAGTTAAGCTAGGAATAAATGTATCAAAGTGTGTGGTGGGCGAAACCAAGTTTTGGTTTCATCTGAACTAGAGTCAATTACTTAATGTGACGGGTTCCTCAATCAAACTTATAGACATGCCATTAATGTTTTCAGCCCAGAGCAATGCTTGTTGTGCATGAATGGCTTTCTTCTTGAATCTTGTTGTGTGGGTAGGAATTATTCAGGTAGATTCTGTTAAAGCACTTGTTCAAGATTGTAATGTATTATTTGTGGCATTAGCATCTGCCCGTACACATCTGGGCCCTTACTCTGTGTCCGCCTCAGAATCCTCATGTCGGTGACAGCGCTGAATGAGAATGATGTGGGTTTGAGCCCAGTGCTTATTCATGGGAACGGGCAGGCGTGACTAGTGATTGTAAAGCTGGCACGGCCTGCGTTTCGAATAAGGGGCACCTGCAGTTTTTTAGGCTTACTGCCATTAGTTTAATGCTCTTTGAACATTTTAAATTTTGTGTGTACTCCACAGATGTTCGGCTTGGTGTGTGTTTAGGCAGATTTATCTGTTATCGGCCTAAAACGTGAGCCACAGTTATGATTCCCTAACTTCGGTCGTTGGCAGGGTAAAAGAATTATTTAAAAAAAAAAAAAAAAAACTTTCAAGATTGGAACATCAAAGACAACTGACTCACAAATAGTAAGTACATCTACAAAAATAAAATACTTTAATAAAGATAAATGTCATAGTGATTTCGAACGGGTTAAGAACCGACATCACAGCTCTCAGAACATTATCATAAGCACCCCATCTTAGCAACCAGTAGAGGGCTTCATTACCAACTGTGACAATAAAAGTCTGTGACTTAGACTGGACACTTACAGACAGCAGTGCTTCCTGAATGAGGACACAGGGAAATGTGAAGATAAAACTCAGGACAATAAAAATATCTTGAGCATGAAAATAGGAAGCAGGGGAAACAAGCGAAACATCATAAGCGACATTTCACTAAAGAAAACGGGTAATAATTTTTTCAACTTTCTGAAATTTAGCTTCTAATATTTTTCTAATTTTTAACATTTCAAAAAGTATAAAACAAATTACTGTTAACATAAAACAAAGCAAGCCCACACCCTAAAACTGAAGATGGCACATCATAGTGAAACAATTTTTTTTTTAAAATGTTTAATTTCTTATCTAAAGCACTGTTCTTTTACCTGTTTTAAATACAGAATGACTTTATGTGCACTCAATAAATACTGACGACTGACAACACAAAATCAGTTTGTGTTGCTAAATCCTCTGTGTTCAAACTGTTTACATAATCAAGACCAATTTAACAAAGTCCTGAATGTAACTATGAAAGACCGAAATCTCAAAGAGCCAACCTGGCAAATGAGGATATCTGTAGTTGAAACACAGCTTAATACAATGGCACTAGGTCCACTAAATTCTGCTTTGGCTGGGTCATTGTTTCTGGGAAAAATTTGACTAAGTGGTCAAACAACTCTGTTCTTTGGCTGAAGTATGGGTTGCTGCAGTCATCTGAGAGGTCCACTGTTTCACTGTCGTTAGCAACACTCCCGCTTGAGAAGAGAGACGATGCTAGTAGCTGGAACTAAATAACAAATTCAAAGACAAAATGACTTTCTTCATAATTTATTTAAATCTTATTTAAACACTCACAATATGTGTGCTGTCTTCTTCTTTTGTTTTATCTGCCTGTAATCAGTTGTCTATATCAGCAATTGTGTCTCTCATATAAACTTCACTGTGATTTTCAGTTCATTCAGTGGTTCATAGTTTACCTCTCACTGTTGTTCTTTTCTCTGGCCAAAAGGTTTGCCTTAATGTGTTATACATTCAGTGCAGACTTGAAGTATGTGTTCTGCTGTGTGGGTAACTTCAGCAATGGCCACATTGCTGATACATCCACTTTAAATTTGATGTACATGTGATTGTGTAATTGGTTGTACCCTGTTCTGAGGTACAGGACAATGACTTGTTCTGCTCTGTCCTTAATAATGTAGTCTTCTTGTGATGGGGCTGGGGGCTTTCTGACTGAATTAATAATACTGGCGAGACATATAAAGATACTGGCAGACTACAGAAAGACAAACTGCGTACACAATATGCTGACCAGGTGTGGGCAACAAGGCAGGCCAAACAGGCAATGGAGAGATAAAACTACAAACACTCTCAGTCATCAGCTCTAAAGAAAAGATTAACCACAAAGATAAAAATGTGTCATATCTTCTGCGGCAATGAACTCAAGGACTCAGATGGCTGAAGAAGAAAAAGGACGAGGAGGAAGAAGAAGGCAAAAATTGACTGGTGAGGAAGAATTACACTGTCCTATTTTAACTAAGGAACCCAGGAATAGTCTCGAATTTTTCGTAGTATTTCTTTCTTTCTTTATGCCATATAAGTACAGTTATGTTTTATCATTAGTATTAACTATGAACATGAGAAAAATGAACAAGTAAACAACAAAACAACCAGCTGATGTGAATTTACTGACTAAAGCAAATTCTCTGAACATATATTATGCCATATATCAGACAGAAAACTGGTCATAAAGCTGTAATATAGTTTATGTTAAATGTTTACAATTCATATCATTACTATAGTTTTACACATACGCACACACAAAATGTACTTAATGGATTCAAATTTATTAGGAGGTATGAAGAAAGACTGAATACACACAAAATGTACTTAATGGATTCAAATTATTCTAGAGGTATGAAGAACAACTACACAAAATGTACTTAACGGATTCAAATTGTTCTAGAGGTATGAAGAACAACTGAATACACACAAAATGTACTTAACGGATTCAAATTATTCTAGAGGTATGAAGAACAACTGAATACACACAAAATGTACTTAATGGATTCAAGTTATTCTAGAGGTATGAAGAACAACTGAATACACACAAAATGTACTTAATGGATTCAAGTTATTCTAGAGGTATGAAGAACAACTGAATACACACAAAATGTACTTAACGGATTCAAATTATTCTAGAGGTATGAAGAACAACTGAATACACACAAAATGGTCCACCGTCGAGAAAAGCTAAGCCATCAAAATAAATAGAATGTTTTAAAAGACTTAATCGCTGTGTGGGTCCTCCAGCCCCCCCCCCCCACCCCACCCAACCAGTACGTAATAAAAGGTGACTAATAAGGTGTTTGCTGAAATCTGAAATGCTGAGCTGAAAGGTGTTGATCTTGCTGTCTAGCTGTAAAACACAACACAGTATCCTAACTGCTCTTGTGAGAGCACATGCACAAGAAGAAGAAAAACTATTTTAAAGAACCTCTCTCATGTCTCTCTCCCTTCCTTTCTCTCTTTATTCTTCCCTTGCAAAACTGCAGTCAGTTCGATTCAATGAAACAAAGAAAACCAATGCATACCTCTTTGGTCTCTTCTGGATCATCATGATCAACTACATTAGCCAGGTCAGTCTGTAAGTAGGCCATTGCCTTCCGTGGTTCTCTGGAGCTCATCTCTAAAAACTGATGCTTACGAATGAGGAACCGGCAGTGCCGAAGAAGATATTCGGAGGATGGTCTGGACAGCTGGTGAAAGAGATAAAATGTTCAGGCTACCTCTGATGTGTGTAAATTGAGTGCAGACTGCTTAAGGTGATCTCGGATGCGGGGAATTTCTGTTGCTAGAATTCTTATTTGGTTAAGAGGAATTTTTTATAAGAAGAACAATATCATGGGTCCCCAAGGAGCTCTCCTTATCAGATCTGCATTGTAGTACTTTATCATCATCATCATCAAGCTTCTCCGCATCTAGCAACCCTCAGCAGCACCTATCATATACTGCCAACCATGCCATGTAAGGCGACATACTAAGTGTTTGCTGAAATAATTTACTGGACCAAAAGATGCAGATACCGCAGCTTAGCTGTAAACCATAAAACACGTGCCAACTGCGATTTTAAGGGTGGATTAAAAAAAATTCTTCTGTAACAGCTACACCCTACAGAAAGGGAACATTGCTTTGTCTGCCTTGAATCTGCTAAGAAGCTGAAACAGGCGGTCATCAGTTTCTTTATCTGATTCCTCATTATATGTCACATAAGGCTCGCAGTCTATTCCTCATTGTGTTTCTTTTTGGATGTCCTTGCTTCCTCCTTTTTATTATTTCTCATTTTAGTGTCTGTTTGATGATTCCCTGCTTGTTTCTTCTCCAACACAGCCCCATCTTCTCTGTCTAATAATGGCTGCTCCCAGTTTATTGCCCAGACATTTCTCTTAATTCTTCACCCTTATTGAATTCATCCAATTGTAAAATCAACATTTTTCACAGGCATATCTTCTTCTTAGCGTTCACCAGCTGTAAACTTCGGCGGAAAGTTCTGGTTGTTTGTCCACTTCTGGACACCAGTCCTGTTTCAGAACCTGAGTGCTGTGTGTACATCAGTTTCACAGGTCTGACTTATTTGCATGCAGACTGTTGGTTCCTTGCCTCTCAGGCAGATGTATTCCAACTTTGAAAAAAGCTACCAATTAGTTGCCTTTTATGACATGCTTCTGGGCAGGCAGTGGGTCTATTCTTGTTTTCCCCCACAATGGGGCCCCGGAACCCACACAGGGTTCACAGGCATATATTTTCTTAAGCATTTAATTTGTATTCCCTGTCTTTAGCCATTCTACAACTTTCACCGGCATATACTAAAAGTGAAATAACATTTAATTACATCAGGAGATTTAAAAAAAAAAAACTGGACTACATTGTGACGGCTGGAAAGATTTATGCAACAGAGTTTGGCACACACACACATACACAAAAAGTGGAAAGGGGTGGTTGGGGGGTTGGTTATATTTTTGGCAGCCTTTCAGCACAGCAAGGAAAGATCTTAGCACACATGACACCAGACACGATGTTGAAGATTGCAAGATGCGGAGTACCAGGATAATAGGCACTTAATGATGGCAATGATGAACTAATTAGGCTTTGAAATTAAATGCACTGTCTTATACTCAAAGCTGTGTGGAGTCATGTACTTTCAATAAGTTCCGACACAGATGATCATTCATGCCATGACGTCAAAATGCCCAGCATCTTCTCTCTCGGTCTCTCCCTCTGACTCTTTTCCCCTCTAACTTTCTCATCGTCAAACCGTACTCTAGTTTTTGCTTTAGCATGACAAAATGAAAGAATGCAGATTGTCTCCTTCAGTTGTGTCTAATCACCTCTGTTTGTGTGTTAGTTTCTTTCAAATCATCTTTATTACTCTTTTTTCCTTCATTCTGTCCAGAGTTTTCTCATCCTTCATCCATGAAACCACATCTCCGTCGCTTCCATGATTCACTTCCATATATCAAGATAGGATTTATTTAGCTCTGGAGAATTCTCTTTCTTGTGTCAACTGCACTGAGTATTTCCCCTACAAAATGTTAATAATTCTTCTCTTCTTCTTAGCATTCGCCAGCTGTAAACTCTGCCTGAAAGTTCTGGTTGTTCATCCACTTCTGGACTTTCATCTTGTTCTAGAACTCAAGTTTTGCAATCAAATCTATTTCTCCTGGCTTATATGTTAACAGACTGTTGATCCCTTGCCTCTCAAGAGGATGCAACCCGTTTTTGAAGGAAATATCTTTAATTAGTTGCTTTTTATGAGGTGCTTAGTGTGACAAACCAACGGAATATTTCAGTCATGCAAGAGTTAATTGCATCTTTTGGTTAAAAGAATTGCACACTTAAAGTAAATATAGTTGAATATAGATGCGGGAAGAGTAGAAAATGTAGGAAGGCGCACATAACTTATGACGTTTTCTTAGTGTTACTAGGAGAAAACCTCATTCGTCACTACATCAAACGACAACCCCAGCCTTTCCATTGGCCTAGCACCAAAAGAAATAATATTAACAATACGAATTCAGGTGAGATTTATAATGGTAGGGAGTAGCTGAGATCCCCTGTAAGCCTTAGCTGTATCCTGAAATATTTTATCGAGATCCTACCATTCTATATTCTACCACTGTATAAATAGTCCGTGACTTCATCAACCTTGATACTTGTCAGTTGGACAATGGTAACTATTTACTAGTCCCTACATATTATGACGTTCTTTAGGTTACTATTTACCATTAGGACTATGCTTTAGGGAACCCTCCTTCCCTCTGAAATTTTTTCTGAAAATATTCATTTGGTTTTCTTGAGTAAAGATCTTACAGTATAAACCATCATCCTGTGCCATGCGGTATCATCAGTTGGGGATACACTACATTGCTTATGTTTATTATATTATGCAACAAACAATTTGAGTAACAGTCGTCAGCTGTGTGGGCATATAGGGTTGGCCTAGGTTTTATAGACCAAGTAGTACCTGTGCGTTGATGTGGTCAACATCACACCTGCCGCCTTTACTCCCCATGACTACTATACCTGGTGTCCATTCAAGGCAAAGTCGACCTGGGTCTGTTGGGACTTAAACTAACGACTGTCCAATCCGCATGCGAGCGTGTGTCCATTTAATCATGTCAAGTTTCATATGATCATGCGAAGAATTGTATGTGTATAAAACAAGATGATATAACATGTTAGAGAGATTTATTATTGATATATAGCTCGCGGAGAAAGACAGTGTTTGTAATACCTAGTTCTTTTCCCTTACTAATCTGATAACACCACAACACCTCTACCTGCCTACAGATGTGTCGGCATAATCCTCACCACCAGGATGATTGATGTATTTTCCCAGGTTCCCTGTAACACCATGGATGGTGAACAACACGGTAGAAGGGAAATCCGAAATTAATTGACGACTGTTGCAGATACCCAATCACTACAATTGTTGCCGCCAGTACATTGTCCATACATCAGGAGAAAGCTATATTTTCCTCGAACTATCCTAGAGCTGAGTGACGTTTGATGTATTTGAAGTTTTGTTGTGGTATATGATGAGACTGTGATTTGTTTTTTTGTTGTTGAATAATTTGTTGGGATTCCTAGACTGTATTATGTCAATACAATTGTTGATTTAGAAAACTCAAATATCGGATTATATCAATTATTTTCAATTTGAATTCCTTGTGTAGACGAAGTATTGTACTTTGTGATTTATTTGAGTTCAATTGCAAGGTGTTGAACTTTGTTTATTCTGAAGTTTAGTTAGAAGAATAGTTATGTATTCAGTTCTATTACGGGGATTCACCCTATTGGTTTGATTTTTTTGTATTTCCCTCCCTTCCTTTATGAACTCAGGGACCCATAGAATTCCCCTAGACTTTCTTAATTCGAGCCCTGTAAAATATTTAGGAAGGATTATAGGGGATCTCCAGGCGACGAAAAATTCCGCCAAACTAGCTTAGCATACTTAGTAGGAGCCAGTGGCTCTATTCTTTTTGTCTCAGTAAACTGAGCGCTGGAACCCACACGGGGAAATGTGACAGGCACAACGGTCCTGAAATCTCAAGCTCTAACTGTGGAGGAATGTTCCTGATGCCAGCTGGTCTTGCAATTCAAGCTTGCCATCCATGGGTGGTAATTCCTATGGCTTCCCATAGCACAACATAGGACTTTTGTGTATAAATAATATGGACAGATGCCATAACATTTTAAAAAGAGCCACACACAAAAAAGGGAGGGGGGCCCTTTTTCACACTGGGCATATGGTGCTAAACCCATATTGTTTCAGATTAACTGGCAATCAATGGGTGACCCATATTGTTATAGATTAACTGGCACTCAATGGCTGACCCATATTGTTATAGATTAACTGGCAATCAATGGGTGACCCATATTGTTATAGATTAACTGTCACTCAATGGCTGACCCATATTGTTACAGATTAACTGGCACTCAATGGCTGACCCATATTGTTACAGATTAACTGGCAATCAATGGGTGACTCATACTGTTACAGATCAATGGCTGACCCATATTGTTATAGATTAACTGGCAATCAATGGGTGACTCATACTGTTACAGATCAATGGCTGACCCATATTGTTACAGATTAACTGGCACTCAATGGGTGACTCATACTGTTACAGATCAATGGCTGAACCATATTGTTACAGATTAAGTGGCACTCAGTAGGTGACCCATATGTTTCAGATTAACTGGCACAATAAGTGATACAGTCAACATCATGCCAACTGTCTTTCATCATCATCTTTACTTCACCTGTATTTCACATCATCATCACCCTGTAACACTGCTTGTCACTGGGTCACCAGCTGCTGCTGACTTTCTGATCCGCGCGCTCCTCCTCTGGCAGCCAGATGCAATGGACTTTCCTTCAACTGAGCCCTATATTTCATATATACAAACAAATCACTTCCAGATAAGAAACAACAGTTCAGGGTGCTGAAACTTTTCTTCTAGTTTGTAACTGTTCAGCTTAACCAATCTTGGGCGCTGCAGTGGTTTAGTAGACACTTGCCTGCTGGTCCAAAGGTCTTGGGTTCAAATCCAAATAGAGGTTGATTTTTCCTGAAATGATTTTGTTCCTAAGTCAACCCATTGTATGATGGGTACCAGGTAATGTCCTGAAAATTAACGCTGCCGGCATGACGTTAACCACATTAGTTTCCAAGTGCAAATTGGTTTATAACCAGTTAAATCTAGCACTATATGCCAGTTGTGCTAAACATGTTAAAAGGGTCTTTTGTTTTAACTTTACCCATCTTAGAACTTACCTTGAGAGACCAAAAATCATCCAGTCTTAATCGAGGCAATGAATCTTTGCCAGGATTTCCACCAAACAAATAATGAACCTTGAAACAAACAAAACAGACATTTATTTTAAAGTTCCTGAAAATTCAGTAAAACAATGCTCATGTGAATTCTGGGACCCAAATTTTGGTAGGAAAAAACAAAGAGAATAAACTCTCTGTCCACCTATCATGCATGTTGCAAAAGACAGTTACTGAGAGGTTTGCTGAAAAAACAGATGTGTCAGGACAAAAGGTGCAGATACCACAGCCTTGCTATAAACCATAGAAAACACAGGCTAACCACCATTTTATGGGTGAATACAGAAGAAAAGAAGAAGAAGAGGAGGGTCCTTAATGGCAAAGAACTGAAGGTGACACCTGGCCGGTGTAGCCGATACAGGTACCCTAATTGTAATTTCTCTGGAGGTTGAACAGGGTGTCAGAGATCTGCCTTGCTGGTCTGTCATCTAGACAGATTTTTAAATCTCAGAATGGTATGATAAACTTTTAGATAGCATTTGATTGATGGACTGATTGAAGAAGAAGATGAAGAATGAGGAGAATTAAAAGAAGAAGAAGAAGACAATAAAACAATATCATACCTCAAGATACAGTGCTCTATATGGAAACATAACAGTAAATGTTTCATATGTAACAACACAATATGCTTAAAATAAAAAAAAAATGTTGCTGTCTCCACAATGGAGTTTGGCTGCATTGTATCCACTGCTGAATAAAATAATATGTGGTGTGGTCCCAGAAATTTACATCCGATGCAGTAAAGATGGCCAAGTATTGGGACAGCTAGCTCCAATCTTACAGCATAAAGCAATCCCAATCAGCACAAAGAGACATCTCATACAAAGCATATTCATTCCCACCCTATGCTACCAGTGCCAGATGTGGTCACACACAACAAAACATAAAAGAAAATTAGTAACAATGGAAATGAGGTGCCTGTGAAAGTTATCTTCCTCCATCTCTTTTTCCACAGATCTTTCTAGTGGTCACAACAAGTTCCAGTTTCCTTCTGCTCATAAAATGACCAGGAAAACATGATGATTATCTACAGATGCATAATAATTCTAATTAAAACAATTGTCCTCAGTTGACAGGAAGGTTTACCTTTCGGATATGATCATAAACCAACTGATGAGCGAACCTAGGAACTGGCTCTACATGCTGCATCTTCGTCCAGTACTGTTGGCCGATGTTCTCATTTTTGTAAATGCAAGACCTGTAGCAGCGGACACTACAATTAGTCACAATGTATCATTAGATATTTACACACATTCTGTGTAATCTTGGGTTTTTCAGATTAAACAAAAAATACTATTAAAAATCTGAACCAAGAAGATTAACAAAAGATTGCACAATTGATTTCCTGGCATATTTCAGTGTATCTAATCAGATTCTGTGTCAGGAATAAACTGTGCTATCTACTGTTTGTGTCTTCTTCGTTCAAATTCACAACAGGAAAATATTTCAAATCTGTCTGAATGTGTTACATTATAAAAAATTTAACTTTATGATGGCACAGAACCTTCGTCTGGGTTGCCAAACATTGTGGTGCAATCGAGGTCTTTACTGGTGGTGTAAGAAATGCTTTCTCAGTAAGAGTATGCTCAAGAAGATCGAAACTGAGATTGGGCTTCAAGACAGTGGTTGAGATATCTCAGCCGGTGATGGCTTACCTTTTGTTGGCAGGTGTCAGAAGGCATCAACAAGCTAACCATGCATGTGTGTCTTTGCCTCATACTCATGCATTTTGTTATATGAAGACAAAATGCTTTGTTGATAAAAATACACTGTGAGTGTGAAAGATACATGCCCAATTTGAGACTTTTAAAAAATAAAACTTTTTTGTTTCAAGTCTGCTAACTCGAGTTATTTCCCTGAAGTGTTTTTGTGTGTGTGTGTAAGGATCCTGTGTGTGCTCTTTCTAATGTACTGTATAAGTTGGTCTTCATTTCTTTAGGAGACTGTTCTTGATACCATCGTTCCATTTCCGAATGGTCTTCCTCATGTTCTGTGTCCATTTGATTTCTTCAGCGAGCATTCTCGCCTGCTGCTCTTTAACAAACTGTATGACCAGCTTCAGTCTTAGTCTTCTTTTAATTCATGCATGTTTTAATCCGGCATCTCTTCTGAGAGGAAGTTTCTGTGGTGTAGCGGCCAGTCGCTCACCTGCGGATAGGAAGGCAATGGGTTTGGGTCCTGACAAAGCCGGACTTTTTTCAAAAGTGACCTCGACTCCCAGGTTGACACAGCTTTGGTACCAGGTGCAGTCCTGGGAAGTAAAGGCATCCCGCGTGATGCTGACCACATCACCCACCAAGTGCCGATTGGCCTATAAAATATAGGTCTAGCCCTATATGCCCAATACGCCTAAAAGACGTGGAAAAGGGTCCTTTACTTTATCTCTTGAGACATCTTTTCACTGATGTTATAATTTGTGCGCTCGCTGGTTTCAGTAAAGATCTAAGTGTGACACTGGTAGCACAAAGTTGGGTAATCAATTGTGCTGTGTTTCAAGCAATCAATCAATCAGCAAGTCCTTTAGAGAACGTTGCTCACTTCATGACACACCTGAAAGTCTCTCTTTCTCTAGCAAATTCTTCAGCCCTGTGTGCTTTCATAACATGCTGTGAACTATTTATGTTATCAAATCTTCACAGGTTTTTGTAGTTCTGTTTCATGGTGGACAAATAAGGTATAAACATGACTATATGTGTCACTAGTTCTGTTGAGCTCCACATATTCACTTCTTGACACTTCTCCCCAGTACTGGCACTATACTAGCCACTCCCATATATCTATTCCTGTCAACATCATTTCAAATTCTGCACAAGAATAACAAAACAATAAAATACCTGTTCAATAAGCAATCAGTAAAAACTACTTATGAATGCAAAAGTGGAACTGCTAACACTATCATCAAGTAGTAGTTCATTCGCAGCATGTCGCTGTATCATGGCATAGCAGAACACCACAGCTCCATTTCCACCCCCTCCCCAGTTCACCCATGAATAAATTTGCACACTCAGGGTATAATCTGTCTTCTCCTTGCATTCACCAGCTGTACATTCCAGCGAAAAGCTCTGGTTGTTCATCCACTTCTGGACTTTAGTCTTGTTCCAGAATCTGAGTTCTGCATGCACATCTGTTTTATACATCTGGCTTGTTCGTATGCAAACTGTTGGTTCTTCGCCTCTGAGGCAGATGCACTCTAACTTTGAAGGAAACATCCCATGCTTGATACCCCCTATAAAAAGGCCCTGGAACCCATATGCGGATAATTGTAATAATATCCTGTAACCACCATCATGGTGGTCAAGCCCTGCCTCCTCTTCCAGGACCCATTTAGTCCAGTACTCTTGGGATGGAGCCGCTTAAGGAACAGCTGTAGAGGTGTTTTGCAGTATAGGAACAAGAAAATATGTAGACACTGGTTTCACTACAGAACAAACTCTATACAATCTCAAGCTGACTGCTGTTTTATTTAAATATATTCAGCCATGATTAAGATGATAATGATAAAGAAATAGAAGAAGTACAAGCAGGAGTATGAAGAAAAGTTATGAAAGAAACTAGGACAGAAAAAGGAGGAATGTGAAAAACTTAAAACAGCATTTACCATTTGTCTTTATGTATGTCATAGACCCAAAAAGAATTCTTCACGTTGTCACGCTTGTCTTTATCTCGGCTCAAGCCCTGAAAGAAAAAAGGAAAATATTCCCTAAACATATTACAAAGGAAATCAACATTTACACCTTCATTATACTTTGTTACAAAATTTTTTTGTGAATTATTAACTTTATTGTAAATGGTATGTTACTGCTGGTGGGCACTGACAATCTCAAATGTGAACAGTCAACTGCAAATTGCACTTAAATTAAGACGACCTAGCAAAACACAAAAGCAACACAAATTTGTAACCTGTGCATACGCAATCCATCAAAAAGAAGTCTCACTGCCATGCAGTGTGGGAGAACTATTAATCTGGACTCCCCATTCAGTTAAGAGTTTTTATAAATATTCATAACAGTTTTTTTAAAACACTGTAGGATGGTACATATATGGTTTTCAGTACTACCAGTTTTTCAAAACACTGTTTGTTTGATAGTTTTCAGTACTATCAGTTTTTCAGAACACTGTTGTACAGTACTTGAACCGTTTTCAGTACTATCAGTTATTCCAAACAGTTTGTTGTGGTTTTCAATACTATCAGTTTTTCAAAACACTGTTGTACAGTAATCAATACTATCAATTTTTCAAAACACTGTTGTACAGTAATCAATACTATTAGTTTTTCAAAACACTGTTGTACAGTAATAAATACTATCAGTTTTTCAAAACACTGTTGTACAGTAATCAATACTATCAGTTTTTCAAAACACTGTTGTACAGTAATCAATACTATCAGTTTTTCAAAACACTGTTGTACAGTAATCAATAGTATCAGTGCAGTGATCTTCATTGTTATTAATTACTGGCTCGAATGAGTCACTGCATCTCTCCATTCACCGACTGACAAGAACGAGAAAACATGGACGCTGGCAGACGTTCAGAAGTTACACGTACTGTTTATTTTCACTCGCTGTTGTTGCAGTCAGTAAATGTCTATATACAACAATATCACTCATCAATGCTCTAAACAGTCAATCATACCTTTGTAACATCGTCGAATACACACACAATTCAAAGAAAACACAGTAGCTCCCTCCATCCAGAACGACAGTCATTCACAGCTGGCCACCGTTTCCGTCAGCCGCTATTTTATGCCAGGTAGGCATTGGAAAATCACGCTATTCAGACGTCAACATTCTTCCGAACTTTCCACACGTACACCTTTCCCTTGGCCTAAACGAGACTGCCTCACAAACCTTTTCTTCGCTATTATATAGCCCTCTGATCTGTCCCGTTCTCGAATATTCTGGATAATTTTATTCTCACGAATTGTCGTGTCTGGCCCGTGATAATTCGTATTTCACACGAATCCTGCCAGTCAACCTTCATGGTTTCACGTGAACAATCATGTTTCACATAAAACCTGACTTTCAGATGTCTCTCATGAAACTCAAGACATAAATCTCGTGTTATCTCAGTCAGTCAAACATTCGCCTTACATTTATTACTGACGTCATCTATCGGGCATAACTCAATGGGGAGAAAATGACTTACTACATTCTCCCCCACCCCAAAAAAAATGTTTTACATTTTCAATCAATCAGGTGTGAACATTTCACTGAACATTGTGATTCTAGACCTTTGTAGTGAATCATTTTCGACAAGTTCATTTCCAACCAAGTTCCCTTTTCCTCATTAGGTTAACAAATCAAACACTCTAAAAATGCCATCTGTTGGGTCTTTGCACGACTGTGAATACCTTAATGGGATCCTCACCCCAGGCACTCCCCTTTTAGTGCGGAAGACCAATAATCTGGCTCCATAGGTATCCCCACCTAGTTCTAAAGTCAGTATACAACCGAACCCCTCTCCTGGCACCCCCCGATCGGTGCGGAAGTCCAAAATCTTGGCTCTAAAACCGAAGTGTGAACCCATGAAGTCCCACCCTCGCTATTCCCATTCATGAAAGCCGTCAACAATGGCTAAATCAGCAATGTATGGTTTTGTTCCCAAATATGTAAGGTACAAGATGTAGTTAATTACCTTGTCTTCAGACACTACAACATGTCTCATTAACAACCATATTCAAATTAAATGCTACACCAATTCAATTTAGTATACTAGTAAATGCAACATATTTTCTGGTGAGGTGTATTTTAACACTGAATGTTGTCTCCCTTTAATTGTTTACTATATTATACCCGTTCAAATCAAAACATATACATTTTTCCTAGTTGTAAATTCATATAATACATTCATACAATAATACAATGCATACCCTTGCATAAAATTATTTCAGTTAATACAAGTTGTAATAGCAGTTGCAACATCTTCTACAAACGTGACATGATATCTGGTAAATGATTGTCTGTTCCTTTGATGTGTTCAATGTTAAATTTAAATTCCGATATCAACAATGCCCATCTATATACCCTTGGATTGCTATTGGCATCAATTGTTAATAATTTTGTCAACCCCAAGTTATCTGTTAAAATAGTGAATTCTTTTCCCAAAAGAAACTTCTGAAACTTTTTTAGACTAATAACTAGTGCCAACGCTTCTCGTTCAAATGTATTGTATTTTTGTTGAGTTTGGTTAAGTTTCTGTGACATATACATTACATAAATTTGCATCAAATACATCATCATCTGACATCAATAGTGATCTTTTAAATATGGTTTAAGCATGTTTACATGAAATTTTTTTAGCTTTTCATCAATTTTGATTTCATAATCAACATCAGAAATCTTTCTTGTAATAACAAAAGGACCTGACCATTCTATACATAACTTGTCTGACTAATTAACAAACAAAAATTACAATTTTTGATTTTATACACCCAAAATCTTCTTGTAAGTTTTTCATGAATGTAACTATTTTATATTCTGTTTGTTTGATTGTGGATTTGACTGTGGCAATAAAGATTTGTAATCACCGACTGTGGAAAGTGTTTTGAATACATCATTTGTACAAGTAATAGTTTCAGCAACAAAAGTGTTAGTAGTGTAGCACTTCTAAGAATTTGACAAGTTTTTGTAGTAACAAATAGTTGAGAGTTGTAGCAATCTTTGTAAATAGGACTTATAGTCAGAAGAAGTTGTAGGATCTGGATGCTGTGGATAATACAGAATGAATCAAGATTGTATGTTTGGCATGTTATCAACAGAATTTGCCACATGGTAAGTAAGATGTATTGCATCAACCAAATGTAATTACTTGTATAGTACGAGGATTTTTCATGATGTTTTTTCTCTCTTGAGTTGTGGTCACCTTTTGATAAATTACTATTTTCAAATTTTTCATTATCTGCAACTGTTCTTGGTGTGTTCTTTCTTGCATCACTATTTCTCAATTTTTCACTTTCATTCAGTATGGATGGTATGTTTTTACCACACAATGCATTGTCATTCATTTCTCTTGCATTCAGTACTTCTTTCATATCATTATCTTTACCCTCAATGTTCTCATAATGTATTCCTTTCATACATTTATCTTTACACTCTGTATTCTCATTCATTTCATTCTGCTTCTTTTTTGTACTGATACTTTCACTCATTCTTGCATGACTGATTGACTGCTCCCTATTCTTGGATGAGTCACTTTCATTCCCTTGCTTTCTTGCATTCACACTATGGCGAAGATCTTCATCACTGTTAATCATGTTCTCACTTACTGTTACATTCACACTATGGCAATACTCTTGATCACTGGTACTTGTGTTGTTATTTTCTTTCACTTCTTTGATGTTTTTTCTTTCCCACTGAAACATTTCTTGCTCAGACATTTCTTTCAAACCGTTTTCATTCCCCAAAATTAATCCTGCACATGGTGATGGTAATACTGCAACTCTCATTCTTCTTTGTGAAAATGGAGTGTTAACATTGACAAAAGCTATCTTATATTTCTCAATCGTGCCTCCAAACGTTCGGGAACGAATATATTTGTTAATAATATCTTCAGGTTTGATAAGATCTTTGTGGATACCTGAAATTGTGGCGCCCGTGTCTCTCAAAATGGTGGTTATTCTTCCATTTACAATACCTCTGTATAATTTTAAGGTTTCATGTGTATTTGTGGCTGAGTTGGCTTCTTGTACAGGTATATTATGGCCACATGGAAGGCTATCTTCTTTATGGAACTGTTGACATACAGGGCAAGTTTCAATAGTTACTGCATTGGTCTCAAATGGTTCGGTGTCTGAATCTGAGTCTGACATTGCTTGTGAAATGTTGGCTTCCTTAAATTTTCTTTTAAATAAACAGTCTTTTTTAACATGATTATAGCAACCGCAATTGTAACATTTAATGGCATCTTTATACAATCTCAACCTCTGTGTTCTTCTATTAAACAGTTTGTCTACATAGTCTTTATAACCCGGATTTCTATCACACATTTTATCGTTCGGATGAGATTTTTTACAATATTTGCAGTACATCATTTGCCACTTTTTGTTGAACGTGGTTTTGTTTTTGTGTGGGTTTGCCCCTTGGTTGTATCTGCCTTTGTCATAACTGGCACTAGCTCCAGTTTCAATGTCTGGTACCGGGTTGGAAATGAAGATTTCACGATGGGCTGAAAAATAATTCTCACCTAAGTTCTCTAACTCCTTCAATGAAGTTGGTTTATTTTCTCTTAAAAAGGTTGACATAGGTTTAGGTAAAGATTCCAACATTTTGTTCCTTAATAATAAATCTACTAATAATTTATAATTATCTCTAACATTGGCCGAATCAATCCATTTATAAAAAATATTCTGAACTTCCGAAAAATAGTCAGTGAACGTCTGATCAGACTTTGGCTTTAAATCCAGAAACTTTTTCCTATACCCTGCTTCATGTAGGTCATAGTGTTGCATGATGCGATCTTTAATATAGTCAAAGTCTAATCTTAGATGTTCAGGGACTGTTTCTAAGATCTTTAATGGTTCAAATGCTAAATGTTTTTGAAAAATAATGGCCCACTGGTCTTTTGGAACATCATGAAAGCGCATTTGCAAAAGAAAGCTAGATATATAACTACCAATGTCATCCTTTTCAGAGGAATTTCTGACTATACCTGCATACTTTTTGAATTTATTTTCTTCT